CACCACAATGGCAGCAGAAATGCTATCACCACCACATTGGCAACAGCTGTCACCACCACAATGGTAGCAGAAATGCTATCACCACCACATTGGTAACAGCTGTCACCACCACAATGGAAATGCTATCATGACACAACATAGGGATAAAACATGAGAACACTTTGTCTTTGGGTGGGGGTCGCTCGAAGTACTTTATTTTTTCAGAACCGTTCCCATACTCACTTGAAAGTCAGAAATCGTAGAAAGTGGAAATAGTGTCTTTGAATAAATCGAGTTTCCAGAACTAGCTCAGATCTTAGCTGGTAATTGAGTTTGCCGGTACCTGCTGTCACACAGGCTCAACCCCGACCCGAAGATTGGGAAAGCCAAAGATCAGCACTGGTATGAAGACTGGAACAGCATAGAAAGGTCAAAGTTCAATGCACTTTGTTCTTTATTAGGTTCACCACCAGCCAGCCATGCAGCGGCAGCGCAACAAATGGAAGCGCAAACATTGCAGCAACGAGATTGTCAACGCAATTTTGGACCAAAAGTTGAGGAAGGGCGAGGACATCGACCATAGGGTTTGGCTAGCCATTTCCCGTGAGAAGATGCAGTGGAATACATTGGGCACCTGAACCTTACAGTTCAACTTTCTTTTGGTTTTTGGTAAGGGTCAACATCACATTCAACACTTAGCAACCTGAAAAACCCAAATGCCTTTCCTGATTGCCAACAAAGGCACATTGTGGTGTTGGGATGGACTTTTTCCTTGTGGAAAGTATGAGATGTTGTACACCGAACTTGGTGAAGATGAAGAACCTTGCCTGCATGACGTCGACTTCGACATGATCAACAACAAACCTGGTTGGGTCAGGGTGTCTCCTTATGACTACGAGAGTCAGCAAATCATGAAAGGCACCTACAAGCACTATATTGAAGCACTCTGGCTTCAATGTTTTGAAATGAAGGGCAAGTTTGTTTTGGTTGGTTGGTTGGTTGGTTTGTTTGTTTATATTTTGAAACCTATCTTTGAAAGTGCCTGAGAAGAATCTCAGGGCGATCGCAGTGACACATCACCAGTGATCAAAGGGCTGGAGATCTGGCAGATGAAGTGGCGCAACCACTACAACTGGATGATGGCCTGTATGTTCGTAGACAACGAAGATGAAAGCCGAACCGTCAAGGTGAAGTATTTCCGGGTGGTTGCGCCGAAGGATCTGTCACATGAGTCGGATGAGCAGCGTATGTATTTGGAGCAGCTAAGCTGAATCTAAACTTTCTTTTGGAAAAACACATTTTTGGTCCTGGTTAAACAATACCCTGGCAAGGAACTATGACTTCTTCTGTATGCTACCACCAGGAGAAGTGAGATCACTTGCTTTCAACGCGACTGACCCTTCATTTTGCCACCTCGCAGCAGCCCAGCAGTGTTCTGAGCTACTCATTGTCTTTAAATGACCATTGTTAAGCACTGCCACTGAACTTTTGGAATGGAATGCGTTGGGCCATTTGTGTTGGAAGTGTGTTGAAGTGACCTAGATCCCTTGATGCGTCAACCCAGCCACTTGCATCTGAGGACCTCTGAAGATGTTGGCAACATTGATCAAAGCAATGCCCTTGGGAGCATTGGGGTCGGCAGAAAAAGGAACTTCACTTTTTGTACACTGACTTGGTCAATAATCTTGGACTCATGGTACGTCACCACAACTTAAAAGAAGCTGCAACGCTGTATTTACAATGTGTTTATTGTTGATTGATTGTGTTTGCTCAAAACAGTTGTAAAGGGTTGAAGGTGTCAGGGTCACTCATGGCACCAAAACGTGTGCTGAAGAAGCATCGATCATTGCTGGATTCTGTGAGCGAGGAGGACCATTCAGATTGCTTTTGCAGCGAAGTCTTCAATTGCTTTTGCAGAGAAGTTTTCATTGGTTTTGGTGTTGAAAGGTGGAGTGGGTGCTGTTATGACCTGTTGAGGACCAGGCTGAACTGTTTGCAGATGAACCAGATGAGGATCAACCTCACGACCTCAGATCCCTGACTGACTGTTATCTCACCCAGAATGTTTGGAGCAAACCATCCTTTAATCCAGAAGTTTTTACTATCCAACCAAACATGTCAGTTGTCGTTCAACTAGGACGGCCGGGAGTTCCTGGTGATTATGATGATGATGGTATTGATGATCCAGACCAGAACATGCGCTCACGCATGCCAAAGCCGAAACCTGGTTGAACACACAACCAGTTTGCCTTGTTTTTTCAATTTGGACTAGTTGGTGAGACACTCCATGGCTCCTGTGTAGCAATCTTATTTAGCAGAACCTGAGGCTGGAAAACCCATCTCGCTATGAAGACCTCTTTTCATGAGCATTCCGCTTGCTCCTTCGCTTCGAGACCCTTGGCATTCTTCAGCGCCTTTTTGTTTGGAATCAGTCCCCCAACCAGTGCTTGGGGTAGCTCTGCCACACTGAATGACTAGGAGTCTGTTTGGAGCAGATACAGTTCGTTTCAAATTGGAGAAGCACAAGATTGTGTTGGACAGCTTGTTCACTGGGATTGATTGCCCACATTGGGCGATGCAGCAGTTAAGCAGCGCATGTCGTCGCAGGACACTTATCAATGAAAGTAGCATTGCCTTTTATCTCAAGTTGACCGTGTTCGAACCTTTCAACTTCAAAAGCTGGGTGATACTGACTGTCTTGAGATGAACCAGGTATGGCTTTGATTTGAGCTGGACCCCTGGACGTGCATGTGATATTAACAGCAACTCTCGCAAGCAGCTTGGCTAAGATGTAGTAGCATGCTTCTTGCAAATGGATTTTCAACAAAAAGGGTTTCTCAAAAAGAATGACCAAGCACCATGTGAGGTTCTTGCAGAAAATCTTTCCAGAGAGGTGCTGCTTCAATAATTTGCTCGACTTTGTGAAGGACCACACAGTCCCCTTTTCTCGCATGAAATTGGCCCCTTGGTTCGTCATGAACCTTTGCTATTATTTTATGGGTTGACTTTGAATTTGAAAACATCAAATGTTAGTACTGTAGTTTTGTGAACGTTTTTGGATGCATCATCAACAGGTGCCATCTGCAGATTGCCTCGTCCACAAGAAGCAATGCACCCGAACACCAGCTGCAGAACCAGGTCGGGAACAAGCTGCAGTGGAAGGGACGCCGTGCGTTCTGTTCAGCCAGAAGCTTGATGAAACAGAGTGATTGAACATTTTGGATTGCTATTTTTGTGGTAGGACTTGTTATTGCACGCTTTGTGCTGCAATCTCAGGATGGGGAAAAAAGAGGGCATGAGCACGTCTAATGTTGCAAAGCGTGCAGTGCAAGACATTTGGATAAAGGACAAGCTGGATAGAAAGCATCTTCCTTAAACTTCAGAAGGTTTCAGTTCCAGTTTTTTTACTTTTGGTTTGTTTGTCAAACGTTTCTTGTTTGGAGTGTATGGCTTGATGCAGCTTCCCTTAGGCCAGGCTGGTTCCTCCACGAGAATGTCAACAAATTCCCTCATGAATACTTAGAGGAAACTCTTGGAAAAGCCTTTGCGATTCAGTCAACCACGATCTCGCCACAACGATTTGGAAAGCCGATGAACAGGCGTGTCGTGGTCAAACTATTTTTTGTGCACATCTATGTGGATGTGATTTTCCACCAGCAACACTGTGTGAGGCCGAGAACATACAGAGTCTTCTATGATAAATCAAGATTCCAGTGGGTGGGACCAAAGATGAGAACGATTTTGAAGCTCACACTGCCACACCAGAAGTTGCAGCTTTCTGCGGATGATATGTACACCCTGCACGGCGACGCATTGGCGACTTTCTGCCAAGCATTTTGGAATGTGCTTCTCAAATAGTGAAAACAGTGACCCTTGTCGCTCCAACCTAGGTGAGTGAGAGTGGCAGCTATGACATGCATGCCCTTCGACTCTCTGATTCTGCAGCAAGGTTCAAGGTGGAGTATGAGCAACACTACAAAAATCACCTGGTGTGAGATTCTTGGCTCCTTTACTCCTACTCATACACAACACTCATTTATTGAGAAAGCTGTGCAGTTCATGTCTAATTGAACATTTTGGGGGGCCAGCAAGCCCATGTCAGGATTTGTCACAGAATCCAGATCCAAAGGTTGCAAGAGGAAGAACCAGTACAGCAGATGGATCACTGCCAACATTTACCACAAGCAGCTCGTGCCTGTGACTTGGCCCTTCCCACGTTGCTCTTTTTTGTTTGTCTCACTTCCTAACACACAAGTAAAAGAAGGTGAAAGGAAGGCTGTCATTTCCACTCATGCAAGGTGGAGCAAGCTGCATAATCGGCCGCTTACTGGATCAGAAATGCTGGCAGCGATGGGGCTTCCCGTTGCAGAAGAGTTGGCCAAGGGTATTGGTGTGCCACAGCCCAACCTCAGCGGTTTGAAGTCAAACGCTAAGGCTGGGCCTCGATTTCACAGTCTGCTGTCTTATGAGTTTGTTGAATCGCAGGCGTTCCTTGCAGGCAATGGGATGGACATCCCATGCGTGGGCTTTGCACTCCTTTGTGTTACCTGGCGTGTTAGTTCTGATGTGTGGTTAGTCAAAAGAGTTGTCAGCCAGGCACTGGTTTGTTTGCAGCCAATCGAGGACAAAACATGTCGGTCTTAATTTGTCCTTTCCTCAATGAGTTGTCAAGTTTTGCCACGAAGGAGGATGAGGTGGCACCACCTATCATGAAGAAACCCTGCAAGCGTCTGAGACCAAGTCGTGGGTACTGGCAGTTCTTTCTAGTTTTGCAAATTCAATCCTTTCAAATGCATTCCACCTTTTCAGGCCCAAGGCAAGTGTTGCAGGTGTCAAGATTGTTCAAAATAAGGATCCCGATCCCTTTTTGTTTGGAACACCTCCACTGAAATACGAGTACATGTCACACTTGCACGTTCACCTGAGTGAATCTTTTAGCAACTAGTTTCCAACACGAAAAGTCCAAGCCTATGTTATACCCGTCCTGACAATGGCGAATCTTGGGATGGGCCTGCTGTTACATGCTGTTTCAAGATGAGCCAGATGAAGACAGTGGCCCTGGTTTGTTCCAAGATGAGAAGGAGGAAGATGCTGGGCCTGTCCTCTTTCAAGCTGAAAGAGATGAGCCAGTGATTTGCCAGAGACACAAACCTGGATCACAGAATGTTTCTCTGAGCCTTCTCAGGGATGAGCCAGAAGAAGGTGATCAACAGCCTCCTCAGGTTCTGTTTGGCATGGAGGCTGATGAGCTTTCAGAAGACTCCGCGTACGAGGCTGATGATGAGGACACCAAGGATATCCAAGCATTGGTGCAGCTCAGTTTTTCAACTCTGAACCAGTTCTTGACAACAAACTTGATAGGAAAAGGTGCGCGAGAGCCTACAGCTGAACAAGCCAAGAAAAAGCGGCGCTACAACAATGAAGGTCGTGCAAAAGCAGCTGCTGCCAAAAAAGAATTGAAATCACAATCATTTTGTGGAAGGCAGCGAGTAGCAAGAAACAACCCAGAACCTTGAGCAAGAATCAACTTAAGTTTTGACCTTTCACATTAAAACAGTTTTCTCTTACAGTAAAGGTTGTTGTTCCTCAACAGGGTTTGTACTATGTGTGCATGTGTGTGTGTCATCACAACATAGTGAGGAAAGAATTCAGGGCCTTTTGTCAGGAAAGTGCAAGTGCACAGAGGGCCGCTGCTATGGGCAACTTCGTGCTTCAGATGTACAGCGGTTCTTGGACCAATTCGAGCAGCAAGGCAAACGTGAGCAGGATACAATTTTGTGTCTTGCTGTACAAGACGCAGAGGGAAATCTTTGGAGTGGCGGCAAGACCAGAAGAGAATTCTATTTCCTTGGGTTCTACCTCAAAAGGGTCTGCTTCGAAGCATTGTTGGGGATCTCCAGTCATCGCGTCGATCGCATTGGCCTGATCGACCTGCGGTTTGGCAAGCAGATGAGGGCATCACAATTGACAGCCAGCATAGACTCTTTTGCAATGGTTCTTTATAACAGTGTTGCAGAGCCTTTGCCACACAAGCTACCTGGTATGCCTTAGTCTTTTTCCAAGCGCCCTGTAGTATTTCTATAGCGCCTGAGCCTCAACCACATTATATACATATCTCAGCTGAGAATCATTCGATTTGGGGGGGCCAAAGCACGGCCACACAAAGCAGCTACAAAGACCACGTCAACTGCATCTGACAGCAGTGAAAATGAATTCATTATTCCATCAGAAGTTGACGAGGACAAGGACGGCGAGTTGGCAGACTACTTGCAAGCCAACACTTCGTTTCTGGTGAATATGAATGCAACTGCAGCATTCACAGCGCCTTGCAAAGCTGTTGCAGTAACACCCGGTTTCTGTTTTTGTATGAACAGCTTCTGGTTTGAACCCGAATATATTTCTTCCAAATCACTAGCAGGAATCATGGTTAACTTGCTCACCAAGGATGTTTCCAAGCTGGGCAGAAAATATTTACCACCTGGGACGCTTTATGAAGTTTACCAGTTCTACACTGGTTGGTGCTCAGCACATGGAGTGCAGAAGCTAGCGTCGTAGCTTGTCAATATTTAATCATTATGTGAAATGGTTTCTGACCAATTGACCAAGCATCAGTGGTCAATGCATCAGGTATGGCACATTTGTACGTCACTGGAACCGAAGATGGACCTTGATCCTCAAGTTCAGAGATCGCAATTCCTTTTCACAGTGCGACGTCTGCCAAGAGCTGAAACAACAGTGGCTCACCAAATCCAGCTTCTGCAAGTTTTGAATTTGTTTCTTCCCAGATGATGAATGCTTGTTATAGAACCTCTTTTGATACCATCAAGATGGTGAGCACAGGTTTCAGGACAAAGAGCTTACCATGGACGTGCGTTTGGGTGCACTCCGTTTGTACCGACAACACCTCATGGCACAGTATTCAGACCGCTGTGCCTGGTGGGCACTCAGGGACGTATCCGGAGACCAGTTCAGCCGCACAATCACAATCATCACAGACGGTGCAGACCAAGATCCTCATCCAATATGTGTAAGTTGTTCACATTTTGCGACCCCTGAAAGTCAATGATTTGGCAGGGTTCAACTCCTAAGCACAGCCAAACAGTTGGCTTTCATAAACTTTTTGGAGATGAATCCATGCTGTTGCTTTGTATGTTATTGAACTTTCTGCAGGCAAAATATCAGATTCCCAGAGATGAGAGCCTACGATCATGCTATCGAGCAAGCAAACAGCAACGACCAAAGCTGAAGATTCACGGGGCTTGGTGCTTTGGCGTCACCTTGCAGCTGGGAATTCTGGAAGAAAATACCACACATGGCTCCAGCTTGGTACAGGAACTTTTGATGATCACCCTTGAAAAGGCCATGGAGATCTATCAGGCAAAAGGCAAACCAGCTCCTGATACACTGACTCTGGTCAGTGACAACACTGTCAAAGAAGTCAAGAATTCTGTTTGCCTTGGGTACCTGGCGTCATTGGTGAACCACCACAAGTTCAGGTTTCTTGCCCATATACACTATATACACTATGTCACTATGTGTTTTGAACTTGTGCCTTGTGTGTTTCTTTTCCTTTTAGTGTGATGCTGGTTCTGGCCCAGGTTCACTTGTGCCATGATGATGAGATTAGTCACACCCATGATGTCATTGGCAGCTCGTACTCGTACTTTTTGCAACTTTGGTTTTATTGTGTTGGGGTGGAGTGGCCATTATGAGTGAAATCAACACCTCTTTCAACACAACTGAGATCAACTTTGGGGATTGCTAAGCAGACGGCTATCTCGCTCAACAAGCATGATCGATGCAGACTCTGTGAAACTCATCCTGGAAGATGAACTACGAAAGCCATCCTTGGCCAAGTGGGTCAATGGGACGGTTGATGTCAGGATCATCCGCAAGATCCGGAACTGGTTTGAACACCATCGGGAATATTCTCCTTCAAAAATGGACTTTTGAGAATGATTTCAGTATCCTTTGGATTCATTTGCTTGCAGTTCACATGAACACAAAAAACACACGAACAAAAGGACCATGTTGTTTTGGTGACTTGCTTCAGGAAGGTGGATTGCTTGTGGATGCTACGGCAAACCACTATTTCTTCTTCTGTCGAAGAAGAGGCAGAAGTTTGTCCAAAGCTTTATATTTTTGATTGGGGCCACTATAGTCTAGTGGATTGAAGTAAAGCTGACTTATGAAAACCATCTATCCCTGGACCCTGGCAGACTTGCCTGAGCACTATGACACTGACGAGGGGACAAACCACCGAAGAGACAGGCAGCCAGACGATACATTCGTGTTGGTGAAAGAGTACATATCATCACCAGACTTGAGACAGTTGCCCTTGTTGGTCCTGACATGTGAGAGCCGTGAGACTTATGCTATGACCACGTCTAGCCACTTAGTTTCAACTTAAGACATTTTGTTTACTCACCATGATCAATGAAACCATAGTTGCTGTAGATTGTGTGTAAATATAATATATATATATATGAATAGATTTAAGTATTTTCAGCTGAGGAGTGATGCCATATCGAGCTGTGGGGGCGAAATCACTTCAAGACTGGAGAGAATTAGCCATCATATTTGAGCAGCTATTTGGTGGAACACCCAATGGGCGCAAGGCAGGTGCCTACTTGCGGAACTTGGCAGACTGCAGTCTCCCTGTGAATGAGCTTCCTCATTTACGATGGCACGAGGAAGCTCCGGTGATTGAAGTGATGCCACAGGCCCGGCAAGAGCCACATCCAGTTGTGCTGGCCACTCTGGCCCCGAGCGTACCACTAAGGGCAGTGTGGAGAAGGGGTAGGTGAACAATCAGCCTTTAGTGCCCCAGAACAAGTTTCAACAGAATACTAAAGTTAATATGAACTCTGTATATTTTTTGTTGCTTTTTATGCCTGCCCGTCTCCCACACTGACCTTGTGAGCCTGTTCAAAAGCAAAGAAAAAACAACCACTGTAATTACTTTGAGACAGAAACATGTCATGACACAGACGTTTAAAGCAGCAATGCTGCCTGAATCAGCTTTGGAGCTGAGGCTGAACCTTGGTGGAGCCTGACACTGCACCTGTGATTCAGCATACAATGAAAAACTTGTCCCTGTGCGCCGTTTTGATTCCACCTACGCCGAAATTTGTGTTTGCTAGCGTCCAAACTTTCAGTGTAGGTCAGGTGCCTGACAACGCCGAGTTATATAGGCCCTAGCTCTACCTACACCGAACTTAGAATTTTCAAAAAACAAAGTTTGGTGTAGGTAGAGCTAGGGCCTATATAACTCTTTGTAGGTCGGCGCCCCAACAACGCCGACTTTTGTGTTTGCTAGCGTCCAAACTTCTGGTGTAGGTGGCATTCAAATTCTTGAAATCGTCACTTGCTCAAGTCTTTGTAGGTCAGGACCTGAACAACGCCGAACTTGTGTCAACTTAGCCCCCACCTACGCCGAACTTGTGTCAACTTAGCCCCCACCTACGCCGAACTTGGGCCAACTTAGCCCCCAC